CTCATCGAACTCCTCCTCACGTCAGGCGCTGACCCAAACCAGGCGGTTTGCATATCGGCACGCTGCAACTGGACAGGGCCCCTCTTGCTGAAGCTGACTCGAGAGCGGCGCCGTTGGGAAGCCGAGATGCTGCTTTCTTCGGGCTATGTAGACATTGACAGGCGCGACTCGCATGGTGCGACGACTCTCGACTGGGCACTTTCTACATGCCACGGCAACCCCGTGATGGCGTCGATCTTGCTGCGGCGCGGTGCCAAGATGGACGATGCCGTGTTGCGCGACATTATCGGCAAGCTGGCGCGTCTTGCGGACGCACAAGACCACTGGAGTGTGATCAGCCTGTTGACGCGAGAGCCTAAGCTGTTGAAGATATTCCACGTGTTGTATTCGCACTGTTTCTGGGTAGCATCTCGGAGTGGTGACGCTGCCGCATCACGGTTCTTGCAAGAGTCGCCGGGCGGGATTGTGCGTCTCGTCACGGAGATGTTGAAGCACGGCGTGAGTCTGACGAAGACGGGCGTCTTGAACATGCTGCGAAACGCGAAGGAGAGTAGGCCAGGGCCGGTCATCGCAGGGGTTTTTCGATCAGAAAGAAAGAGCGCCATGCGAAGGTGGTGTTAGTATGGTGGGGTGAGATGGTAAGGGGAGAGGCGGGACGCCAACATGAGAGAAATGGTATCAGGGAGGGAGGTGATTGGTAGGCGAAGCCAGTGAAAAGGTAGATAGCTGCCAGCAATAGACGTGACATCACACCCCTGATGGAAGGAGAAGTTACATTGCTTAGTAGGGAGCTCATCGTCCCGGGTAGCATCCAATACGATTAGGAATCAAGTGTTCTCCAGCCGCGCAGAGGTATAAATTATAGAGCCCGCCATCTTTGTTGAGCCATACGTGCACACCATCTTCATCATTTCCAGGAGCACGCTCACGGTCTGACTGACTGTTTCACACGACATGGATTCCGCGCTCGATACAGGCATTTCGCCTTTGGACCACTTGACAACACAGCTCTTCGAGTGGTCTTTCCGCGATGAAAATGAGCTCGAGAAACGACAGAAGGCCGTTGAAGTCGT